CATGTCGAGCTCTTGATACCTGACCCCAGCTCGTACTGCTCGTGAGCTGAATGCTACCACTGACTCGTTCATAAAGTGTCACTAATCAGCATATAGTGCACTATACCTTACCAGGATGCATGATGCTACTACCGCGGTCTTCTACATCTCGAACAATATATAGCTGAGCACGCTACCCGTCACTCACAAAAACGATAATACTACCTTCCAAATGACGTCCTCTACTCAACATAAAACCCTGGTAAGTAAGATGGACTTGAGATAGAACTGAGTAAGGGTAAAAAAAAGAAAAAAATATCATAGGATCACACACACACACACACACACACACACACACACACACACACACACACACACACACACACACACACACACACACACACACACTACCCCCCCCCCCACACACACACACACATTAATCAACCACGACGACCACCAGGACTTTGTGGAGACGGCGACGCTTCGTGCGACGTCACTGCTGCGCCAAAATCTTCTTCGCGCGCAGGACGACGAATCACTCGAGCACGCAAACGCGCGCATCCTCCTCCCGCGATTGGCATCCCGCATCAGGTGGTGGTGGTGGTGGCAGTTATCAGCACTGCTGTTGAGCATTTCACATTTTGAGCGTACGCCGACACACGTGAAAAGACAACTACACACGCGTGAATGTACACTCACACGCTTGTGCATGTGTGTGCATGTGTGTGTGTGTGCGTGTGTGTGACATTGCGCGTTGCAGCGGGTGCTGTAAAGTGATGCGGGCAGAGAAGTTGCCTGAGGAATGCGTCACCGGGTTTGAGGGTGTGCTCTCGGAGCTCCACCTCTTCACCATCCACACCGTCTTCCGTCTTGCCGAGAAGGGTGAGGGGCGCGGATGGCGGCGGCCGTGAGCAGTGCATCCATATGTGATTGTGTGTGTATGTTTGCATGTGTGCATGTGTGCATGTGTGCATGTGTGTGTTTGTTTGTGTGTGTGTGTGCATTTGCACATGCTGATGCTAGTGTGTTTGTGCTTGAAGACGAGAGAATGCGTTTTTTTTTTTTCGTGCAAGCGTTGCTTGCTCATCCAGACATACGTGTGTTCGTGTGTGTTCGTGTGTTCAACAGAGATTCGACAACTGTGCGACAAGGAGGACTGGCAGCCGCTCGAAGATGGCACACGCACAACACTGGTACATGCACACATACAAACACACATGCACATGCACGTGCACACATGCACATACGTGCCTACGGAGTTGATGCTCCTCCCGCCAACCTTTGCAATCCCAAAACCTTGCACATGTCACTGGCGTTGCCGATCTCGCCGAGTCGTGTACCGTCATGCTTCCTCCCCCCTCCCTCACGTGCCACTGACACCCAACATTGTTGTCCCTGCGTGCCTGCATGCAATCATGGATTCGGGACGACTGACCGACAGCCTGAAAAGTTCTTGCACATTCTTACAGACACGCTACACTCGCTAAAAGAGTTTGCGAGCGCCAGCACGGCAACAGCCGATGCACTGGTACGTGTGTGTATGTATGTATGTGTGTAGTGTGTGTGGGGGGGAGGGGTTGCAGCACTCGCGTGTGCCCTCATCTCACCCCATCGTTGTCCACTCAAGCTCTTCCCATGCATCGATCGCATCTGATTTTGAACCAACGCCGCTTTTGTGACTCACCCCCACTCCACCACGTCACACCATGCCTGCACTCCAGGACCAAGTGAACGTGGAAGCGCTGCTGTCGTCGACGTTCTCGTCGTTTGCAGATGTGTTGGAGCAGCTGGCAATGGCGCCTGTTCCTGCACACACATCGCGCTCACAATCGTGCGTTGAGTGTGGTGGTGATGTGATGGTGTTTGCTGTGGTGTTTGTGGTGGTGGTCGCGGCTGGTGTGGGGCCAGCGGTGGATGAGGGGAGACATGGGCTTAGGCTCCTGTTGTGCTTGAGAGCGAACGCCAGCGTGTGCATTCCCATCGAGTGTTCGGTCCTGCGCTCTCAACTCACATTACTCACATCACCCCTGATCAGGATGAGCGGGCTGGATGAGGATCGTGGATCTGTGTCGAGTGGCGTTGATGAGACGACACGACGCATACACACGCTGCAGCACCGCCTGCTGTGCATCATCAGCAACACGTTCTACACCCGCGATGTTGTTGCCGGCACCCTCACCGCCGACCTGGACGAACTGCGCGTGGATCTCAGCGATCTCTTTGACGTGCGTGATTGTGATTGTGATTGTGATTGTGCGTGATTGTGTGTGATTGTGTGTGTGTGTGTGATTGTGTGTGATTGTGTGTGATCGTCTGGGATTCCAACTCTCTCCGTATCACTGCTAACATGGCCTCTAATCCTGTGTCATGTTTGCGGTGTAGGCGACGCTGGAGAAATACTCTGAGCTTCAGCGCAGACTCATGGACAAGTTGGTAGATGTGCAGGCCCAGTCCTTCGTCACTATCGTGAGGCGACAGGCTTGCGTGTGTGCGTGTGTGTGTGCGTGTGTGTGTGCGTTTGCGTGTTCTTGTTTGTACGTGTGTGCATGTCTGTAAATGTGTGTGCATGCATCCATGCAGTCCCTTGTGTGTGATGGATGGCGGTCACTGCCATCATTCTCACATCATTCACCGCCACCGCCGCCGCCACATCCACCACCACCACTGCTGCCGCCGTGTTGCCAGCTCCGTCACAACGCAGCAGCCGGCCTCAAGAGTCTTCCGGCCACACTTTGTACGCCAGCACACACGCACATGTGTCTGCCTGTGTGTTTGCCTCACGCAATCCGCTTTCCTGGCATCTTGTTGCTTGTGCCATGTGTGCGGACAGCCTGTCATCTACCAATGGGGATATCTAGGTGGCGCGTCGCTGTGTGTGTGCGTGTGTGTGTGCGTTTGCGTGTTCTTGTTTGTACGTGTGTGCATGTCTGTAAATGTGTGTGCATGCATCCATGCAGTCCCTTGTGTGTGATGGATGGCGGTCACTGCCATCATTCTCACATCATTCACCGCCACCGCCGCCGCCACATCCACCACCACCACTGCTGCCGCCGTGTTGCCAGCTCCGTCACAACGCAGCAGCCGGCCTCAAGAGTCTTCCGGCCACACTTTGTACGCCAGCACACACGCACATGTGTCTGCCTGTGTGTTTGCCTCACGCAATCCGCTTTCCTGGCATCTTGTTGCTTGTGCCATGTGTGCGGACAGCCTGTCATCTACCGCTTCAAGTGTCTATTTTGTCCTTGACCATTCCAATCACGTCGCTCCCCCGCGTGCGTTCATCTCCTCTGTTGTTTCAATTTCTTGCAGCGATTCGGCCGTATGTGATGCTGATTCTCTTCGACCTCGTTCTTCTCCACCACGAAATCACAAACACGGCAAAAGGGTACGTGGTGGCACGTGTACGCACGCATGTGTGCGTTGATGTGCATGGACATGAGCAAGAGGCGTGTATTAGGCTCACAAGCTCACCAGCACGTTCACACACACACACACACACATGCATCCACACACATTCCCTCCTTCAATTCCTCCAATCCTGCATCTGCAGGTTCACCGGGCGCATTCTGGCTGCGATCACGGAGCAGCTGAGTACGGGCATGTTACAGGCCGTGCGTCAAGTTGTCGGCGCCCCTCCCCGCGTTATTACGCAGGTTTGGTTGTTTGTTTGTTGCGCGCGCGCGCGCGTGTGTGTGTGTGTTTATGTGTGTGCTTTTTGTGTACATGATGTTTCGACTTTCATTCTCGTGCTGCGCATGCCATGTTTTTCTCGGTTTCACACACACGGACCTCTCCCCACCCCACCAAACAACACTCAACAGCTGCACGCGGAAGTTGTTGTGTTCCAGCGTGTTCTGCACGCGTTTGACAACGAGACGAGCCTCTGGTCGGGTGTTCTCAAGGTGTTGGCGTCAAAGGCGGCAAAGGCAAAGCGAAACAGCAGCAGCGGCGGCGGCAGCAGCAGCAGCAGAGGTGGTTGTGTGTGTTTGTGTGTGTGTTTGTTTGTGTGTTTGTTTGCGTGTGACAAGCTGTAGTTGCTATGATACACTCGTGTATCGCTGCGTGCATGTTCAACTGACTGCATGAACCTCCATCTCTCATCCTCCCTCTCACCCACCTCCGCACCAGGCCGCCAGCTGCCAACGCCTGGTCGCCACTCTCCAACAGCAGCGGCGCCACCCCTCACCATCTCAGCGTGCGTATGCTCAACGTGCACGCATGTGTGTGTTTGCACTTGTAGATGTGTGTGTATGTGTGTGGTTCCATGCTGTTGGACACATGCATGCGAACCTGTATTTCATGCCGTTCTCACCATCACCTCTGCTGATACTGATGTTGGTGCTGGTGCTGCAGGGAGATTGAGGCAGCGGTGGACGCGTTCATGCGGCGGTCACGCGTGCATCTCCACTGCCTCATGCAGCAGGACTCCGATCTCTCAGATTCCGATGTCGAGGTGTAGCCAACAAGTGCACATATACACACATGCATACACATGCACACATACACGCAAAAAACGCATGTGGCTGGGCCATTGTTGAAACGCCCACTTTTTCCCCTCTCATCCATGTGTACATATGGAGATTGAACGACGTGTTGCTCAGGCTGTGTGACATTGTTTGTGGTCCGATTTGTAGTTGTGAAGAAACAACGGACAGACGATGATGACCAACGTGGGTAACAGTGATCAGCAAAAAAAAAAAAAAAAAGGCGGGAACTGACGCCTCCGTGACAAATACCTTGCAAACACACACACACACACACACACACACACACACACACACACACACACACACACACACACACACACACACACACAAGAGTTTTAGGACACGAGGGAGCGGCGAGAAGAGCTCCTCAAGTTGTACCGACACGATGATGACGAAGATGACGACGACGATGTTGTGCTCCCAGATCCAATGAGGGAACGGCGAAGAGAGCGGCTGGAAGTTCGTGCCTGCGTGTCAAGCGAACAGCAGTGTACTGATGTGAGGCGACAGAAAGTCACACACACATCACACACACAGACACACACACCCACACATACACACACACAGACACACACCCACACATACACACACACACCTTGGCTGACGACGTCTCCACTGCCGCTGTTTTGGCGGGCGGTCGCGATCGCGGATCGATCACACTTGAGGACGCCATCCTCCGCTTCACATCGGCCGCCTGACCAAAGCAGCCGCACGACAACCACACGTGTGTTACAGTTTCACAGCGAAGATATACGCAGCACGATTTCACACACACACACACACACACACACACACACACACACACACAAAATAGCGTCCTGGTTCGGTGCGGGCTTCCAACTTACCCTGGAAGCCGTGGCAGCCGTTGCCGCTGCGTTGGTGCTGGCGCTGCCAAGTGGAACGCGCGTGAAACCCGACCGCCGCCTCATCTTCGCGCTCGTGATGGTGGAGGATGTTGCCGATGAAAGCGACGATGATGATGTTGTGGAACTGTTCAGTGCAGTGCCTGTTGTGCGTTGCCTGTCTCTGTCAGGTTTGAGCGTGCGCGTGCGCTCAGACGTGATGCTGACGCGTCTGTGTGTGTTCTCCTTGTCGTGCGCGCGCGCGCCATCCGCCATCATCAGTGACGTGGACGTGCTCGTGTCATCTGTGCTGCCGCCGCTCTTGCTTAGTACTGTGCGTGCAGATGCGACAAGAGACCGCCGCTGCCGACGCGACGCCTTGTTCACAGCAGCAGCATCGCTCGCAGCGCGTCTTGATAGCTGTGATGATGACAACGCCACGCTTGCGCTTGATGTTGTTGTTGTTGTGGCGCTTGTGGCTGGCGCAAGCGGCGGAGATGACGAAGCGGGAAACTGTGGTGGTGACGGTGATGAGGGCGCAGCGTCCGGTTGGTCAGCCGGAGACCCGCGAGCTGACGAAATGGCGGCTGCAAGCGCGAGCCTTGACCGCATGGCCCGGAGAGGAGAGTCAGGGCCAGACAGACTCTCACGCACAGCGCGGAGCACGCGAGAGTCCACGCGTTTCGTAGCTGTTCTTGCTGGGGACGCTGCTGGGCAGTTGTTTGTCGCTTGACGACGGATTTGGTTCATGTGTGATGGCTGGGAACGCTCTGCTGCTGGCGGCGTGTTGCTGCTACTTTGTGCGCCCTGCTCATATTCTTGGTGCTGCTGCTGCTGCTGCTGCTGCTGTTGTTGCTGCTGGTGTAATCTTGCCAGTTCCTGTTGAATCAGGTCGTCATTGTCAGGTGTATTAGTTACACCCCGCGTCACGACATGTGCCGTGGGTGCTGCAGATGGCTGCAAGGCTTCGCCAGATTGTGTGCTGTTAAGGGTGGCGGTGGTTGAGAGTGTAGCGGTGCGAACGCTCGTTCGCCGCGCACGCCGTGCCTCCACATCTGCGCTGCGCAACCCAAGCCCGAGCGACGTTCTTCTCCGTGCCCGCTGCGTCCGCTGTGATTGGCCAAGCTGTGCTCCCTCTGACATGAGAGATGAGAGTGGAGCGGAGTTGGGATGGAACGAGGTGAATTGAGGTATGAAAGAGTGTGTGGTGAGATGAGGGCGGACATGCTTGTGACCTTTGTGTCAGCTGCAATTAACGAAGCGCACAGCACGAGCACAAGCAGATGCAATCGTCAGCGCATGCATGTGCGTGGGAGAGTCGACGGCACTTCCAATACCGTCTCGTGTTTGGACAACTCACTCTCGTGGCTGGCATGTGGATGTCGAAACCAGTCATGATGCTCATCCCTTTGAACGACAGGTTAAGAGAGAGGGGGGGGGGAACAGTGCGACATGTGGCGCATACAGTGTAGAGTGAGGTGATGAAGACAATCGTGCATGTCCATTCATTCTTCTTTGCTTGCTTGTGTTCCTTCATTCCTGATGACCACAGGCACCAGCCAAAGCACAGCACCTACTGACTAACACCTTGCTACTCACTTGTAAACGTGGGAGTGGCCCAGGTCAAACCACTGCGGCGCATCAAACTCATATGTGTTCGACGTCATGGTCGGCGGCAGACGTTGGGTGCGTGGTGCGTGTGTGCTCCTTGTTGACGTGCAGACAGCCGGATTTGAATTTGAGGCGGCAGAAATTTTGGTGTTTGGCAATGATTTCAAATATTTTTCTACAGTGCGCGAGACGATGCCGATGACGCGCCCCTCCTTGGGCTGGGCTGTGGTGATGGCCGTCGTTGCTGCTGCTGCCGTAGTTTCAACACCGACAACGACCATGGCACAGTATGTCCAAGTCTTTCTTTAACACGTGTGTGTTTTTGATGTACTGGTGTTGGTGTTGGGAGTTCGTGTGATGCACCCCTTTTGTTTGTGTTGTTGACTTTTGTCCCTTGTGCTGTGTGGTACTTTTGTTCCTGCCGAGCTCACTCATTATCGCCCGCACATGCTTTTGTTCGTTTTCTCGCGTGCCATTGCCATGCGCTTCTCTTCAATGTCTTGACTACAGGACTATGGATCCGTCGACCACGTCCACGATGACGGGGTCTGGCTCTGGGCATGGTAGCTTCAGTACCGCAAGTTCGTCGTCGACAGCAGCAGATGCCGGCAGCACGACGACGACCACCACCACCGCCATTGGAGCGAGCACCACGCCGTTGGTGATGACCACCACGAGTACCAGCAGCGTAGCGACGTTGAGCGGCTACTTGGCTTCGACGCTGTTTGTGCCTGGGCTGAGTGAGGACGCCTTCCAGGCCGCCAGCCCGCGGTTTCTGTCCGTGGTGGCGCGTATCACGGGCGTGCCTTCCACGGCCGTGTCTGTGGCATATGTTGTGTCGACCACACGCACGGCAGACAGCGGTGCAGGCGATGGCGATGATGACGAGGGCCAGGGCGCTGTCGCAGGGGTAGAGGTGCGCTACATCGTGGGGTTGCCAGCCGGGTGTGGGTGTGAGCAAACTGTGACGGAGGCGATGGTGAGCGAACGCCTGCTGTCGTCACTGCGGCTGTCGCTTCAGGCAAGCGGCAGTGTCACGGTGACGGCGCTGCCTGAGCCAAGCGAAGGGATGGAGACACCGCCAGATGACAACGGCAGCTCGAACCGGCTCATGTATGCGATCATTGCCTCCGCTGGTGCCCTGGTCCTCACCATTATCGGCAGCGTAATTGCGTGCAAGTGTGCGCGTCGACCCTCTGATCGCTACACGATGCAGCAGCAAAGTGGCGGCAGCGGCGGCGGCGGCGGCGACACCAACATGTCCATATTCTCTGGTCTCAACCCAACGTTTGACAGCTCCCTCTCCTCCTCTTCCCGCGTCTGACAATCGTGCTGGATGTGTGCGTTTGCATGTGTGTGTGCGTGTGTGCGCACAGTTGTGTGTGTGTGTGTGCATGGGCATGTGTGTTTGTGTGCAGTTGTGCATGTGTTCATGTATTCACGTGCGTGTGTGTGTATGTGCAGTTGTGCATGTGCGTGCGCGAACATCTTTCTTTTCGTGTGTTAATGCCGCGGTCACAGTAGCTGCGTGTGTCTTGGTTGCCGGTTTCAGCCAATGCGCACATGCGACCCTGCCCCCTCCCCCCTCCATTCTATCGTATTCGCACCAGATTTGCTGCTCTTCTCTTCTCTTCTCTTCTCTTCTCTTCTCTTCTCTTCTCTTCTCTTCTCTTTTCTTCTCTTCTCCTGTCCTCTCGTTACGTTGTATTGGGATTAAGCAACCACACTTTGAGAGTTGGAAAACAAGGACATGCAACCATCAAACCAGGCAAGTGGGAAAACTCAACAGCACAGCACGTAGGTGAACAGAAATGTATGAACAATCACAGCAGCACACAACAGCACACACCCATAGGAGAACAATCAAAAGCAAAACGAAAAACCCGCAGCCAAGCAAGTGCAGAGAGGCGCATCAGCACGAACACATCAGTTGGCGCTGCCCTTGTCATTCGCCTTTGTTGTTGTCGTTGTTGTTGCTGCTGTTGTCGAGGCTGTGGCAGCTGAGGCTGGTGATGGCGGCTGCACCGCATTGGCAATGATGCCGTCGTACACGGCCGCGTACACGTGGCGGTTGTGGTCAAACGCACGTGCGAGGCGAAGGAACACGGCGTGCAGGCGCGGGCTGCACAGGTCAAGGCCGTTGTTGGCGCGAAGGCCGGCCTGCGTTGGAGATGGTGCGCGGATGACGCGGCGGTATTCATCGCGCACGCGCTTGGTGAGGAGGGCGGACGGGGGCGCCGGCGCCAAACGGCTCGTCTGAATGCAGAGCGACAAAAGAGAGACACACGTCTGAATGCAGAGCGACAAAAGAGAGACACACACAGAGATAGAGAGAGGGGGGAACCGGAAGGAGGATAAATGGAAGGTGAGACGAGGACACAGTGAAAACCACAGCCCTTCTTCAATTCAAACACGCACAGACACACACACAGACACACACACACAGACAGACACGCACAGACACAGACACAGACACAGACACACACACACACACAGACACAGACGGACACACACACATAGGCAGACACACAGGCAGACAGACACAGACAGACAGACAGACACACAGACACACACACCTCGGATGCGGGCCTCCTCCTCTTGCGTGAGTTTGGGCTGCAGGTGTTTGTTGATGGCGCTGATGGCAAACGTGCACATGCGGCGGTGCGATGAATCATCGAGACCATTCGTCCATCCCTCGGTCATGAACGCGCCTAGCATCAGCTCCCGGAACTCCTGTACGCGTGGAAACGTTGGTGCGTGAGGTGACGAGTGTGTGGTGACGAGTGTGTGGCGATGATGAGGGGATGCGATGGGTGTGTGGGGAATGAGAGGGCGGAACAACACGGCGTGTGAAGGCAAGCAAAGGCGGTGGCAGGGGCTGTTGTTGAAATTGTGGAAAGAAGAACAGCGGTACATGGAGGTGATGACACAACAACGCATGAGTACCAGGGTCACAACACAGCGATGAGCGCACCTTTGCAATGTCCTGGTTGTGCTTGATGCGGTGCACCTTGTGTGAAATGAGAGTGTACAGTGCGCACGTGTGTGCTATTGCACTCAGCTCCTGCCGCGCTGTTGTGATGAGCGGTTGATCCGCCTGGCAATGGAATGAAGAGGGGGTGGGGGAGAACAAGAGAGATTTATGTTGGTGAGGACAGTAGGGAGGGGGTGAAGTTGTGAGGATGAAGAGGACGATACAACGAAGCACACAAGGTGCAACTTGAGCACACACGCACGCACACATGCACACAACATCGCAATCAAAGTAACACATACACATACACACGCACGCACACACACACGCGCGCACACACGCACACGCACACGCACACACATATACACACACATACACACACACACATACACACGCACACACACACACACACACACAAACACAAACACACACAAACACACACACACACGCACGCACGCACCACGAGCGTCTCTGGAAAGGCATCGTCGCACTCCTTTGAGAAGAGCAGCCGCTCTGTTGCCACGAAAAAGTGTTCGGAAAACGTCATCTTCTGGGCCGCCTCTGCTGTTGACTCGAGCGTGTTTGTTGTCGCCGCCACATAGGGCTCGCTTGCACACACACCAGCCTCACTGTATAGCCAGGCGAGAGCAAAGACAGGTGTTGCGGGCGCGGTGAGAATAAGCAGACACATGTTCAGTGAATGTATGCGTGTGTGTGTGTCTGTGTTTGTGGGTGCAGGTTTGGGTGTGCAAGCCTGTGTGGAACAGCGCAACCACGATGACATAACATGGGAACAATGCCACCGTCACACCAAGAATAGCTCAACAACACAGCATTGCAGCAGCAAAGAACGATCGCGGTGGCCGTACCTGACAGCGGCTGCGAGCCACTTCTCCGTGTTGTCGAAGGTGAGGGCGCCAGAGAAGACGAGAGATTGGATGCGATCCCGCTCAAGCTGGGCGCCGTACTGGTGGTGCGGTATGGGATGGTGATGGTGATGGTGATGGTGATGGTGATGGTGATGGTGAGTTTGGGGGATGGTGAGCGATGGCATGCAGGAGTGACTATATTGCAATGGCAACACCAAACGTATGAGTGGATAACACCAAACACACAGCACACAGCACACACACACACACACACACACACACACACACACAGACAGACATGCAAGTGCGGTTGGCTACCTTGAGGATGAGAGGCCGGTATGTCTCGAGGATGTAGTTGGCAAGATCGAGTTGCATTGCTTCCAAAAGCGCAAATGCATTGAACAGAAACTCCGCAGTGCTGCCGGACGCCTCAAGCTGTTTCGCCGGGCGGGGAGGAAAACGAAGGAGAGCATGGACAAATGACGGTGTGAGAGAGAGAGAGAGTGTGTGTGTGTGTGCGTGTGTTGAAAGGGCATGAATGAAACATGAGTCGATGGTGAGAACCACACCTGAAACGATTTCAACCACACACACACACACAACAATGCACGCACAACAATACATACACACACACACACAACAGTACACACAACGCTTCTCAAACACAACAGCAAAACAATACACAGCAATCCACACCTGTGCGACGCGCTCGTCGCGTGAGGGCGCCGCGAGCATCTTGATGTACTTGAGCACAAACGCCTTCACATCATCAGCTGTCATGAAGCGATCACGCAGGGCAGCCGCCGTGTTCTCCGCGTCCATCTGCTCCCGAATCGTGTCGCGCAGTCGCTGCTGGCGTGGCAGCGTGGCCGCACACAGCCGGTCGACAAGGTCGCGCAGGATGGGAACCCATCGCGTCACGTCCGGAGAGCCATCGGCCTCCAGTTCTTGCTGTAGCTGATCCATGAGCGCCTTGCGGGAGATGAAGTCAATGCGACGGCGAAGGTATGCCATGTCTCCCTGTGGACCATTCGCGTGTGCACCAGTTGTTGTTGTTGCTGCTGTTGTTGTTGCTGCCGCTGATGGGATGGTCACGTGTGCCGGTGGGTGTGCCGGGTACTCTTCGTGATAGAACCGCAGCTCGCGGTCGCTGGTCAAGCGGAATGTCGGGTCGACGCACACGTTGTGCAGGAAGTCGAGATCCCACGATGCTGCCAGCTGTTTCGCCATTGCTGCGTCCGCATCCTCAGCATCGCTGCCTTCACTGCCACTCTCGGAGGCGGGTGCTGCCGGCTTTCTCGTGGTTGATGGTGATGGTGGTGTCGACGGGCGTTCATGATGCTTGTCTTCATCCTCGCTGTCCTGCTTCATGGCACCTGTGCTGCTGTCTTGATCACTGCTACGGCCGTCGCCGTTGCCGTCATGCTCGGAGCTGCTTGTGCTGGTGCTCCTGCTGCCTGCAGATGAACCCGCACCGCTTGTGGCCATGGACGCCGCTGCGCTACTTGCTGTCGTCGTCTGCTCGATGCGTTCGCGGTGGGCAGCGTGCTCGGGGCTGGTTGGCTTTGGCGTCGTGTCCGCGCTGTCACGGGTCCCGATCACCGTCGCCTTTGCGCGCGCAGCAGCACGGCGCCGCCTGACAAAGGAGAAGGTGGTTGGTGTGTGCATTGGAAGGGAGGTATTGTATGTGTGAGTGTGTGGGTGTGTGTGAGTGTATGTTAAGTAAGCATGAAAAGGATATGTGCACACATGCATTGCAGCGCACGCACACACACACACACGCACGCACGCAAGACAATACGACCACGAGAGTGCCAACATACTCTTCCTGGCGCTGAATGTGTGTTTCCTTTGCTGCCAAACACTCGTGCAATTTCTCCTGTGCACCCAAAGACTCCATGCGCGTTTCAATCATCTGCGTGCGTAAGTGCGTAAGTGCGTGTGTGTGTGTGTGTGTGTGTGTGTGTGTGTGTGTGTGTGTGTGTGTGTGTGTGTGTGTGTGTGTGCGAGGTGAGTCGATGGAACTTACGCGAGAAGGTGGGGTGATGAAAAGGCTGGGTGGGCAAGGCGGCGATGAGACTTGCAGACCGCCAGGCGTGCAGACACACAGACACACAGACACACAGACACACAGACACACAGACACACACAGACACACACAGACACACAACACAGACACACACAGACACACAACACACACACACACACATACACGCCATTCTCCCTCTCTCATGCAGGCACACACCGTCAGCTGGTCGTCGATGTGCGGGTGCCATTCGCTGCGGGAGCGCTTGTGGCGACCGACGGCAGACTTGAGGCTGAGCAGCTCCTTGTAATGATCCACAAGGCTCTGCGCCAGGGAGTCAAGGTCCTTGGACTGCCACGCCTGGAATGCGCGCACGTGGTGCCGAATGGCGCGTGTCAGCTCACTGTCGGCAATGTGCGCATACTTTCGCGCGCGGTGGCCGGCGTCAACCACATGCTGCAGCCAGCGGCGGAATCTGTGGAGACACGAGCAAAGAGAGGAGCGATAAAGGGGGACGTAAGAGTGGGGTCACATGAGCGAGTAGGTAGCACGATGACTGACACACATGCCCACACGCATTCATGCACACACATGCATACACACATTTGCATACGCTCACAAACACGCTCACAAACACACACGCACACATATGCACGCACATGTACACACATGCATACACACGCTCTCTCTCATATTGCCCTCGACAACGCACGTGGCAACGAGTGTGGATGCGCAGTCGAAGAGATGACGCTCCATGGCATCATCCCTCGTCATCAGCACGGCCTCGCGGTGATGGGTGATGAGGAAGGCCGACAGCACGATACGCACGCGCCATCTCAGCGCCTTCTTCTGGCGCGTCGCTGCGCTGTCTGCATCCGTGTCTGCGCCCCTCCCTGCTTTGGACGCGCTGCGCTTGCGCGATTGCGGCGGTGTTGAAGTTGTCTCAGCCACTGTCGGCTTCTTCGATGACGCCTCCTTTGCCTGGTCAGCTGCTGTTTCTGTTGGTGTTGCTGAAACTGTTGTTGTCGTCGTGGTCTTGCTTGCTGTTGCTGCTGCTGCGGCGGCGGCGGCAGCGGCGGCCTTCTTGGCCTTTGGCAGGGCGAGCACGTGCAGGATGTGCTCCACATCGCTCAACACCTGCTCGTCCTGAATCTCACGCGTGACCGTCTCAAAGCTCGGCGCCTCGCTGCCTTGTTCCTCCTGCAGAATGGCCTGTGTCTGCAGCCGCTTGCACGCCTGCACCAGCGTCTGCACGCGAAACCACTGCTGGATGCGCGTGGCCGCCAAGTCTTTGCTGTCGAGCGTTTGGGGGCGTGAATGTGTGTGTATGTGTGTGTGTGTGCATGCGTGTGTGTGCATGTGCGTGTGTGTGTGAATATGTGTGTTAGCATGCGAACGAAGCATGCGAACGAGTGTGAGCGTCCAAGTGTCAATGTGAATGTCCCAACGCGCAACGCACACACACACACACACAAAAAGAAACCCGCACAGATGCACGCATGCAAACCAGTGCAACAGTTCCCTTTCAGAAACACGCAGCGACGCAGCCGAGCCCAACAACACCGAAACAAGAAGCACACACCTTGTGGTCAGGCGACGGGCGGTTTTCGCTTTTTGCAGCAGGCGGTGGGCGCAGTGTGCGCGCCACTGCTCCTGGGCCGTTTCCTGCTGCTTGCGCACGGCCTGGGCCTTATCCAGGTGCATGGCGCACTTGGCGCGCTTCTGGTCCAGCAACTGCTGGCGGCGTTGTGCTGCGGAGTCAAGCAGCATGGCTAGCGCGGAGGCCCGTTGCGCCTGCTCCTGCTTCAGCAGGCGCTTGTGCGACTCCACGCGACCCTTGGTGTCCGTGCGCTTTGCACGCTGCTGTCTGTCGCGCAGGCGGTGCTGGCGGCGACGCTCAGCCCGCCGCGTCTTGACCGCAAGCGCTGGCATGGTCAACGGCTCTGGTTTCCTGCATACACCAATGCATGCGCGCATACAAACGCAAGGCGAGAGCAGTTAGTGAGCATGGTTCCTCCTGTAGTCATCGACACGAAACCAACCCGCCATCCAACGACTGGATGCACGAAACCACAAGAAAATGGGTCAAGCAAGCCCCTGGCAAGTGCACAAACAAACAGGCAAGTCGTCTGCGCAAGGTGGCAGACGCGCCAAAGCAGCCATACATGCCTTGCAAAGCGCTCTGCGACGTTGTGGGGCTTTCGTGTAGAGACCGTGAGCTCGGGAGCGTCCACGCTCCATGCCCGGCTCATGGCCTTGGTCTTCTCGTCCTTGCGCATTGTGGTTCGTCGTCTGTGCGACGTTGTGGATGGAGTAGGTTGATGGATGTCCTCTGGGTTGCTTCTTTGCTTGTGTTTGTTTGACAAGTAAGTGGAGGTACAGTTGGCTCTGAGGAGATGAGGAGATGAGGAGTGTGGAATGTGAAGTGGTCTTCGAGCTTCAGAGAGCTGACTGGTTCAGAAGAAATGTAAACAATCAATGACTTGAGAGCGCTTGGCTTGCTTGACTTTTCGAGGTGGAGAGGGTTGTGTGTGTGAACGATTGTGTGTGTGAACGATTGGCGTGAACAGATGGGGCTTGCTTCGCCTGTCGTGGAAAGGTGGGTAGACATGCAGAGGGAAAATGCTGCATGCTGGCTGGTGTTGATGGTGCTGCAGCAACGTGGTCCTTCCAACAACACAACAAGAGAGAGAGCAAAAGGCGAGAGAAATCCAAACAAAAACGAAACCGCGCGAGACGCGAAGCGCAAGAACGAAGAAAATGGGGCCTTTCTTAAAATACACAGAATATTCTCGAAGATGCCAGCAAACATTCGGGGCCGCAAATATCTCTGGCTACTTTTTATGATGTGTGGTTAGAGGTGTGCGGCCGCCAACAATTTGAGTCTGTTGTGTGTGTGTGTGTGTGTGTGTGTGTGTGTGTGTGTGTGTGTGTGTGTGTGTGTGTGTGTGTGTGTGTGTGTGTGTGTGTGTGTGTGTGTGTATGTGTGTGTGTGTGTGTGTCTGTCTGTCTGTCTGTGCGTGCGTATCGCTTACACACTCACGCACATGGAGAGAACTCTCCAGCAAAACAAAATGCATCGCAAAGCTTGCTACCATCATGGTGTATCCAACAAAGAAGGGCAAACAATGAGAAACGATCTTTCGTCTCACAGACAGTGCGCGATCAACACAACAAGAAGAAGAATAACGCTGTTCGCGCACTCACACACACTCACACAAGCTGCCTCTCTCTCTATTTCTCTCTCCCACACACGTACGCACCAACACACACACACACACACACACACGTACAAACACACACACACACACACACAAACTCCCTCTCCCATTCCACACACACACACATACGCACCAACTAACAGGAGTAACAGAACAAACAAGTTGTTTTGAATCACGAAAAGGAGAAGTTAAACTGCAAGTCTGAGAGTCGAGCCTGTGTATCTTCAACGGTTGCCTCCTTCTTCAGTTCCTGCGGGTTCACATCAGGCTGTTGGCGCAGGTGTAAGACGGTGTGAATTACATGGTGGGTTGTAAGATGAACCCCATCACGATGTGCACTTCAACTGACACAAGAAAAGGAGAACACCACGCAAGCACGCACACGCAAGCACACACACAAAAAAATAACACACACGCACCACACACACACACACACACACGCACCACACACACACACACACACACACGCGCGCACCACACACACACACACACACAACACGCGTTACCTTACCGGCACGTATTTGGTGCGTTGTTTGGGCTTGTTTGCTGGTGCCTTCGACGTGGCAACAGCTGTCGATGCATCCCCGTTGTTCTTCTTCACATCCCGCACAACATCAGTACCATCAACATTTGTGCCGTGATCATCATCATCACCACCGCCCGTCTTTGCCAGCGCGGCGTTGATGCGTGCTGCCACCAGCGAGCCTTCGGTTGGCTTGCGCTTGAGTGCGGGCCGGTGGTGGCGTGAGGCCGCAACAGCACGTGGGCGGTGCCCTGTCATGCTGTTGCTGCGCTGCTTGTGCGCCTCATTCCTCCCACTTGCACCCGTTGACGACGACGACGAGGAGGAGGATGCGGTGTTTGTTGTTGTGGCGGCGGCTGCCGCTGCCTTGCGTCTGCTTGGGCTCACCGCTGCAGTTGTGGTGTGACTCCGAGCGCTACGAACGGGCGAGCGATGCGCCCCGCCAGCCCTTGTTGCTGTTGGTTTGGCCTGCACGGCTGGCTTCGCTGCCGTGGCTGGCGACTGGGTACCCCGCTTGCCCGTCCCTTTTCTTGTCGCTGCTACTGTTGCCGTTGCTGTTGAGGCAGGGGTTGGTGGGAGCGGCTTGGTTGGCTTTGGTTTCGGCGCTGGCGCCTTTGCCTTGGGTTTGGGCTTTGGCTTGGGCTTTGGGGTTGGCGAGCCAGAGGCGCTGGAGGTGCTGTGGTGCTTGTGGCCAGCCTGGTGATGACCGTGGTGCGCATGGTGGGTGTGCGCATGCTTGTGGTGGTGATGGTGATGGTGGCGGCCGTGGCCGCCATGGTGCGCCGCCTTCTCCGGCGGTGGTGCTGCCGTAGAAGCAGTCGCTGCTGCCGCCTTTGTAGCAGTGGCCGCCTTTGGTGTGGTCGCTGGTGCTGTCGTTGTGCTTACGCGGTCGGCCTTCTTGCTGCTGGCCACAGCATCGAGCTGCTGCCCCAGCTCCTTTGCACGCGCACGCGGCGCCGGCTGCTGGCCAATAATGGTCGTTGGGACACAATTGGAGAAAAAGAGAGCCGGGGAGGGGGTTGTGTGACGAAAGGCGGTGAGGGCACATGGGGCTGCAGGTGATTCAACAACATAAAACGCAAACGCACATGTACACACGGCACACACCCACACATGTACACACACACGTACATGTACACACACAAGTACACGCACATGCACACACACACACACCTGGGATTTCTTGTCCGTGGCGGCTTGTGGTGTTGCTGTGTCCGTTTGGTCCTTCTCTGCGGCAAAGAAGGACGGGCAAAACGCCATGCGCCACGTGTGGTCGTGCGAAACAATGGCAGGACCACGCATGTCGCGCGGATGGCGAATCCGGTCCTCAGGAAGGTGCGCCGGAGGTTCAAAGTCAACACTCATCCCCAATGGACAGGTCACCTTGCCGTCCTCCGACAGAAACGTGTATGGCTGCAGCAGTGAATAAAATGCCGCCGCGGTCGCCTGTGGCGCGGGCTGCTCCCGCACCGCTGCGCTCAGCGTCCTCAACACCTTCGTGCCTGCAGGCAACGGCTCGCACGGGGCGCCCGCACGTGTGTACGTCACCTCTGCCTTGGTTGCCGCACCAGCTGCTGTACTAGCTGTTGTCGCTTGTGTCGCTGGTGTATTGGCCACCGCTGATTCTGACGTGGAAGCGCCGGCTCCCCGAGCAACGGTACGCGCTTGCGACGATGGCACAACACCACCGGCTGTCGACTGGCCGGTGGTGCGTTCGTTGTCGGCGGCTGTGTCCTCCTCGCCGCTGTCGTTGGCATCATGGTCATCAGCGTCGCCGTCCACATCCAGCATCGCCAGTGGCATTCCACCGCGCTTGCTGCGAGACAGCAGCGCCATGGGTGCCAGCCCATCACCATCGTCATCACCATCACCATCATCTGCCGTGGACAGCTCTCCGCCATCACCAACAGTATCATCCTCTTCGCCATCGTCATCGCCACCACCGCCCGTCATGAGCGGGAATCGCATTCGTGCAGATCGTGCCACGGGTTCGTCCTCATCATCATCGTCATCGTCATTGTCATCGTTGCCGCCATCCTCGGCACCATCGCCATCTTCCTCGCCCTGGCCCCCGCCTTCATCATCATCATCATCTTCATCGTCGTCGTCGTCGTCGTCATCGCCTGCGCCCATGCCCAGCACTCCCATCGGCATGCCGCGTGTGGATGTTGGGAGCCCGCTCTTTGCTCGACGCGCCCGCAGGGCTGCCATGCGCCGGCGGTTGTATTCCTCCTCGTCCTCGCTCTCTTCTTCAGATTCGCTTTCTGCTTCCGGCGTTGCGGCAACAGCCTGTAATGCGTGTGCATGTGTGTGCATGCGTGTGTGTGTGTGTGTAGATCATCGATGCGGGTGCAAAAGTGAAAGTGAGTGCGTGAGTCAGTGTTTGTGGCGGTACACCAAACCATTGGCATGCGAAGCAGAGTGTGTGCGTGTGTGCTTGCTTGTGCGACGTTGGGAACTTGCACGCATGTCCCGACATCATCAACAAGCAGGAATCGGCCTGCAGGCGAAACGAGGCGCTTCCGCTCAAACACTGTACCGGTTGTTGGCGTTGGCGAGCGTTTGCTGACATGCTCATTATGTCTGAGTGGAACATCTCTGCGGCCGACAAGGCCGCCATGCGCGCGGCCTCGATCTTCCGCTTCTCCTGCCGCATCGCGTGGTTGTGCGGTTTGTTTGTGTTTTGTTGTGTTTTGTTTGTGTGGTGCGTGTTGTGGTGGCATACGAGTGTGTGCGAGTGTGTGTGCGAGTGTGTGTGTGTGTGTGTGTGTGGATCGCAGCAGTGGAGCTACAATCAACAGCTCAAAACTCAAACACCAAGCTCCAACGTGACAACTCCCACAGACCCACCAAAGCTGGGCTGTGCCGATCCCTCCACACACCGACAACCAGGAAGGGGACACCAAGACCACGAGCAGCACAAGGCAGCCCCACAACACATCCTCCACTCTCACCTCGTCAGAGCTCATTTCGCGGCTGTGGGTCGAAAATCATTGGGCATCATACGCAAACGACGTTTGCGCTCAGGAAATTTGTGGTAAGATATTGCCATTCTTCAGAACTTGTGTTTGCAGAAGCGGAAGCTGGTGAAGAGTTAGAAGGGAGGAAGGAGGGAACGAGCAGCAACGCAGCCAACACCACACCACACCACATCCACAACCGCAACAACTGTGCACCATGTCTGGCGGGCTGAGCAATGCGGACTTTATGAAGATGGTGGCGCAGACGCCACGCCGCGACCAAACCCCGTGAGTGAGGGCGAAGCGAGGTGTGTGTATGTGTGTGTGTGCGCATGTGTTTGTGTTTGTGCGTGTGCATGTGTGTGTGTTTGTGTGTGTGTTTGTGCATGTGTGCTGCGATAGCATTTGTGTCCTGTTTCACACACTCCCACGCCGACACGCCCACACGTTTACTCACTGACGCGCTCGTGAACAGGATGGCGGAGAGCCTGGGCACTTCCAAGAAAACTGCGTCCTCCTCTTCGTCATCATCGTCGTCCACGGCAGCAGCTGCCAAGAAGAAGGCGCGCAAGAAGTAAGCCGTGTGTTTCGGGTTGTGTGCATGCATATGTATGTGCATGTGCGTGCATATACATGTGTGTATGCGTATATCCAGCTTGTCTCTGACAACTTGCCTTTGTTGATTCGTTCATCAACAAGGAAAAAGGCGTCTGAGTATGAGGAGATACAACGACGACAGAAGGAGCTCGCGGAGAAGGTATACTTGCTGCTGTTGCTGCTGTTTTTGCTGCTGTTTCTTTGCTGCTGCTGACATTTGTGCGTGTGACACATCTTGAATTTTGTTGCACGGACGCTCACGTTGACGTGTGTCTGTGTATGCGTCTGTGCAGTATCGCGATCGTGCTGCAGAGCGCCGCAAGGGCATGAACAAGGACTTTCAAGAAGCCGAGGCCATCAAAACCGCGCTGGAAAACGCAGAGGCGCCGCTGTTTGGCACGTGAGTATCTGTGGTTGTGTGTGTGTGAATGCGTGTGTGGTTGTGTGTGTGTGTGTGTTTGTGTGTGTTTGTGTGCTTGCTTCTGTTCGTGTACGTGCGCTCATCTGTGTGCGGTCATGTTCAACTGTTGGGATACTCGTGTTTGATTGCCTTGGTCACCCCTCAACACTCCCTCACCCCACCTTGGACTTTGGGTGACCTGTGACGTGCAGCGAGGAGGAAGGCGAAGCAGGGGCTGAGTCGCGGGAGGTTGCACGTGAGCGACGCCGGCGACTGATTGAAGAGTCGAAGTATCTCGGAGGTGACATTTCCCGCACCCATCTTGTCAAGGGTCTCGATTTGGCCCTCCTTGAGAAGGTCAGCAGTGCGGGGTAGGTGTGTGTGTGTGTGTGTGTGTGTGTGTGTGTGTGCGCGCGCGCGTGTGTGTGTG